TGAGCATAAAAATTACCACTTTCAATCTTATTTCAGCTATAAAAAGTAGTTCGTTCGTTAGAAATACCACATTTTTTTTAGAAAATCGGCCTATTCCGTGAACGTGAAAAATCGCTGTAAATTAGTAAATTCGAGTTTTACATGTACGAGCATCGCTTCCGTGCAAACACGGGTAAACAAACCAGCACAAGTAGAACTACGTCTGAAAATGGTCCTTTATTGCACTATGCGCACCAACGTCGCCCAAGAGTAAGCATAATATCAATGGTTGACGTTAAAAATCAGCCTCCAATTCGGGTTTGGATCCCAAATTAGCTGTGTTTTCTACCGTTTTTAGATTGTTTGGGTTGCGTTTGTCTAAAGCCAGCAGGTTTTCCCCTCATTTTGCTGATGTAGGTATAGGAATATGCTCACATATTGTCCGTCCGGTCTGTGACTAAAAAAATTAAATAGAACTGTCGAGTGTAATTCTGTGCAGGCGGCATGCACCTACATGGACGGTTCAGGCCGATTTAGAAGAGTTTCCCATTAGACTAGAGTCATAATTCACAAAATCAGTAGGTGTCTGAACAATTTTTTAAAATAACCTCTTTAAAGGGATATCTATGTAATTAGCTTTTTAAGGGTTAAGTCTAGGTAAAAATCAGGCAGTGTGATCTAAATTAGTGACCATTTGTTGCTGTAAATTAAAAAAGTCTTACTTTCCTCTAAGTTGTAGCGTTTTTCGCCATATTTGTTTGTTATTAGACTCCATTCTAAGATTGCTGATACACAACAGAGTGGCCGTATAACTGCGTTCGTGTCAAAATTATCCGTACATGAGCTTTCTGTATACGCTGCTTTAGGCTTATGTGAATTTTTGATCTTTTGCGCCCAGAAAAATGCTCTTTAGAGCGGGATCGCCACTGGAATGTGGACTATTTCCGATTGTGTTTGAAAATTAATTATTTACGATTATCTCTTTATCCGATTTCAGCCTTGCATTGTGCGCATTTTTGATGTCATCGACACGGACGACGCCTTGTACATGATACTTGAACTGTAAGTGTGCCACCATTCTCTATTTTCTGCCCTTCTTAGTGTAGAACACGGCGAACTCTTTGATCGTGTTGTGAATCTTGGACAACTTAGTGAAGACGATTCGAAGTTCCTTTTTCTGCAGATAGTTCTAGCCACCAAGGTAACATTTGAATTCTCATTAGGTAAATCTTTAGTACCTTCATGACAATGGAATTACTCATCGGGACCTGAAGGTAATTCAGACATTTGTGACGCCTGGGTTTCCCTTTGTCGACTTTTTTCATGCTCTCAGTTTGCATCATTGTCTCCATCAATACGCGCATCGCCTCTTATACTTTGTGATGTTTTCTTCCGTCATTTGGTTATCTTGCTTTTCAACATTTCTCTGGTATTAGACCCACAGTAAACACTTTCTACTGATTTTATTTCGATATTCCGCATAGTTACTAATATTTTCCGCATTTCTGCTGCAGCCGGAGAACATTCTGCTTTCTGGACCTTCCAATCGTTGCTTGATCAAAGTAACGGATTTTGGTCTCTCAAAGTTTGTTGATGGCAACACAATGCTTCGAACATTTTGTGGCACACCGACATACTTAGCTCCTGAAGTCCTTCTTACGGCCGGTTGTGGAGTGTACACATCCTCAATCGATGTCTGGTCTCTCGGTGTCATCCTGTATATATGGTAACGATAGCTTTATATAGTACCTGTTCTAACAATTTGTACAAATCCTCTTGAGCTTTATAATTATACTTTTGTGTTATTTGTTACCGATAAAGTTAATCGTGGGGGAAGTAAATATCTCACTTTTTTATCAGACTATTTCCAACCTCAAGGCATTCACAGACATGATTCATGCCTAATGCACATGTTTATCGTTTTTGTCGATCAAATCATTTAAACCAGTCGCAAATCGTCCTTACTCCGGTTAACAGGGTCTGAGCTCAGGGCTTCACAGCCAAAGCGTTATGCTCAGCGACCTGCTTTAACTTCGAGATTTTTCTTATTTGAGCTTGCAGCTTTTATCACACCTTTATTTGAAAAGGTTGTTGAATGACATTTCGAAGTTACTCTTTTCACCTTTAACAGTATCAGGTTTTCATCAGGACGCCGTCTAGCAAACCGCCGACAGGATCGATTTGCTAGAGTTAAATTATGAGGGCTTCCAGTCGGGTCTCCGTTTTTAAGTCAGTTATCTGATCCTCCAAGTTACTTTGATTTGCACCTCCTGTTAACGAAAAGCATCTATTGTAATGAAAACTGTCAATTTAAAGATACGGCAATTGTCAAATACCTTAAAGTCAGACTGTTGTCAGTCGGTCAGTGTAATTATGAGTGTCATCTGATCCGATGCTTTTCTCGGAATTTCAAAAAG